CCAGAGCCCTGCTGCAGGCCCCACCCCTTGCCCATATACCCCCCCTCCCACACACACACCCCCAGCCGTGGCCCCCCCAGCCCAGACACCTGCTTCCCCCTCACCCAGGGATCCAGAGGGAGAAACAGCCTGATGCTCCATGACAGAACAAGGAGTAATGGTCTCAAGTTGCAGTGGGGGAGGTTTAGGTTGGATATTAGGAAAAACTTTTTCACTAGGGGGGTGGTGAAGCACTGGAATGGGTTACCTAGGGAGGTGGTGGAATCTCCATCCATAGAGGTTTTTAAGGTCAGGCTTGACAAAGCCCTGGCTGGGATGATTTAGTTGGGGTTGGTCCTGCTTTGAGCAGGGGGTTGGACTAGATGACCTCCTGAGGTCCCCTCCAACCCTGATATTCTATGATCCATCCCAGGCTTGCATGGAGTTTCCTGCGGGCCGCCCTCTCCTTCCTCAGGGCATGCTGGGAGCTGCAGCTGCCAGGAACCCTCAAACTCCCTTCCTTCCCCCCTGCAGTGTCTTCTGTGTGCAAACTGGGCTCTGGTGGGTCCAGTGGCCCCTAGTGGCAGCTAGCAGCATTGGATCCCATTTCTGTGGGGGAAAGGAAATTCTGCACGCAGAACGTTAATTTCTGCAAAATTCTGCATTGCGCAGTGGTGCAGAATTCCCCCAGGAGTACCATTCTCATGCCTGGTGACTGGAGCCCCAGCCTTGCTGGCCAGCCCATCCCTATTGTCTGCCCCTGCTGCAATGCCGATGACTTGGGCTGTCTCGCGATGCACACCCATGAAAAGAGGCCATGCTGCCCTCTGGAGCCACTCGCCTGCCTGGCAGTGCATCCTGGTCCCTAGCTGGGAAGGGGGAGCCAGGCTGCTCAGGTGATGGGGAGCCTCGGGAGAGCAGAAATGGGGTGGGGATGGGGGAATCAAATGGGAGAATCAAAATAATTCTATGTCCTCCCACCTTCTCCTAACTGGTCACTCCCTGTACTCCCCCCCTCCATCCTACACTCCTTTCCTTCATCACTCTTCCCCTGGCATCCCCCTCCTCTTCTTGTTCTCTGTCTCTCCATCGCCTCTTCTTGTTCTCTCTCTCTCCCCCATCCTTCTGCCGGCCCCCTGCCATTCCCCGTCTCACAGGGAGAAGTCCCGGTCTTGGCTGAGCACAGGCTGGTTCACCATGGTGATCGCCGTGGAGCTGTGTGACAAGGTGCATGTTTACGGGATGGTCCCCCCTAACTACTGCAGGTAAGAACCCAACTCCCACCAGGTGCCCCTCCTGGGATTCCAGCACTCTGCCATCGGCTGGCAGCGCCCCAGCGGCTCAACCTGTAACTCTGTCCTCCACAGCAGGAGACCTCAGCCTGGCAAGATGGCATATCATTACTACGAGCCCAAGGGACCGGACGAGTGCACCACCTACATCCACAATGAGCGCAGCCACAAGGGCAACCACCACCGCTTCATCACGGAGAAACGGGTCTTTGCCAGCTGGGCCAGCCTCTACAACATCACCTTCTCCCACCCAGCCTGGGACTAGGGGCTCCCCGAGGAGACATGGAGCCATTCGAGTGCCCGACCCAGCAGCTGGTGCCAGTAGTGGGATAACTCCACCTGGAAGGGAAAACATCTCTTGGATTAACCCTGTGAGCCATGCTGGGCTCTGAGGGAGGAGGCCCCGCACCACAGGCTGCCCCGGTTCACTGTCCAGGGCCAGAAGGACTGGGTGAGGGGAGGAAGGGATTGGGATGGTGCCAGTGACCTGACTTGCAGTCCCAAGGCCCAGGGAGGGCTGCTACGCACCGGGCACTGCTGGATTCATGGTGTCCCCTTCCCCCGCACCGGCCACACACCTAGTGCACTTCGCTGGCTCCCTGCTTTGAGGTCACCTCACTCCCCCGCCGGCGATCAGCTCAGAGGCCCAAGAGTGAGTGGGAACAATCCCTGGCTGCCCAGATGGAACAGCTGACCCCTTCTTAGTGCTCTGGGCGGCGGCTCTGGTCTCGCCTCTCTTGGCTTCTGGAGAATGTATTTCCGAGGTGGGAGGACTGTAACCCTCTCAGCTCCGCTAGGCTCAGTTCAATACTGAGTCTGTATTGACTGTACAGTGCAACCCTGCCCCAGGCAGCCTCTGCCTTGGAAAACTGCCGCCTGCGTCTCCAGGTTTCCAGTGAGGCCTATAAGAGACCAGCCTCAGGGGCGTAGACTTCTCAGGTGGGTCTGAGGCAGGGCTCGGGAGGGGGCATGAGACACATTTAAACAGGCTGTCCAAGCACTGACCCCCATACGTGACAATGACAGAGCCCGCTCTCCCCTGAGAGCTCTCTGCCCTCCTGCCTGGGGTTGATCCCTTGTGTGGCTGCTTAAGACAGGGATGCCCTGTGGAGTGTGGGAGGGGTGTTGTGTTGGGGAGCATCATGGTCACTGGGAGGGGTTTTGGGTGGGGGGGAGGGGAGGTGTCACGGTCACTGGGAGACATTGAGAGTGATGTGTGTGTGTGTTACAGTTGCGAGGCACTGAGGGGTGTGTGTGTTAGGCACTGGGAGGTATTGAGGGTGATGTGTGTGTGTGTTAGAGTTGCGAGGCACTGAGGGGTGTGTGTGTTAGGCACTGGGAGGTATTGAGGGGTGTGTATGTCACAGTTGCTGGGAGGTATGGAGGTTGTCACAGTCGCTGCGAGGCACTGAGGGGTGTGTGTGTGACAATCATTAGGAGGTGTGTTAGGAGACAAGGGGGTATCAGTCTCAAAAGGGCACCGACGCCTACAGGACTTTGTTTTTTCCCAGCTGTAGAGGGCACTGGGCAGGGGGTGGGGAGGTCCCTCTGCTCTGCCTCTTGTTTTGGCATCACCAGCTGCCCTGGACATGGCTTCTTCCTGGCATCACCAGCTGCCCAGTCTGAGAGCCGCATGCCAGGGCGTTTGCTGTCCTAGCTCCCCTTCCGCTGGCTGGCAGCTGGTCACTGCCCTCCTTTAACCCCACTTGTGAAATCACGATTTGGGGTCACATGGCCACGCTGGCTGCCCCCACTGGGCTGGGAGGCCTGGGGTTGGGGTTTATTTAAGACTCCCCACTTCCCACACACACACCCCAAGCTCTGTCCACATGGGCTGCAACGCCTCCTCCACTCCTAGACAGGACACAGCAGTGACCACCCCCAGCTGCATGGCTGCACCTCCTGCTTTCGTGTCCTTGCAGCTGCCCTGCAGAGACCTTGCAACTGTTGGTGCACTCACTGCCTGGCCTGTCTCAGCGTGTGGCAATGGCGCTCCCTGCTGGTGCCCAAGGGGCAGTGCCATTTCCTAGGCTCACTCTGCATGGCTTCTCCAGATCATTTTCAGGGCCGTTCCTCTTGAATGTGCTTTCCTGCTGCTGCTTCTGGTACCATTGGCACCCCCCCCCCCCCACCACCACACCCCTCTTGCGTCTCTCCACGTGCCAATAACACGTCTGCACAGGGAGAGCAAGTGGCCATGTGGTAAGAGAGGGCAGCAATACTGTGGAAGTGGAAATTATACCCTCAGCATCTCAAACCAGGGGCGGCGGGAATTGACTTACAAGGAGCTGTGCACTTTTCAGCTGCCTCCCATGTTCTGTCTGTCTGATCGCTGTTCTGCCTGGCTGCCTCTGATCCCTGCCACTGCCAGGATACTGAGAGCTCCTTAAATCAAGGCCCTGAGACTCGATAGCAAGCACTGATCATGACTGCATGGCAGGGGTCTCCGCTCCGTGCTTGCTGAACACGGCTTCTTCTGGGTACGTGCACAGCTGAGGGGACCGTGTGTGGGTGTCAGACATGGCTCTGTTCTTAGTGTAGATGCAGCCTTAGGCTTGATCCCTGTTGCCTCAGGGTAGAGTAGGTGTGAAATGCTCCTGTTATGGTTTGGAGTTACTCTGTTCTGGGGGGAATCATAGGCCTGGAAGGGACCTCGAGAGGTCAACTGGTCCAGTCCCCTGCACTCAAGGCAGGACTAAATATTATTTAGACCATCCCTGACAGGTGTTTGTCCAACCTGCTCTTAAATGACAAGGTGTAGGCAATGCAGAATCATGAATTTAGATTAATAGATTTGGGCCCCTTGTGTTTACTCCCACGCTCTCCCTCTGTCCTGCTCTCATATCCCCAGCCCACCTCTGCCGTTTCTCATGGTCATGTTCCCCCTCTGCCTTCCCCAGCAAGTCAGGGACTGCATGAAAAATGCACTTCAGCTTGGGGCCATCAGCTGCTTTCTAGTCACCCACCAGGTTGGATTTTGCCCTTCCCTAGTCCTCGGCAATAGCTGCTGAAAATCTCCAAGTTACCAAAAAAAATTAAAAACATACTGCAGTCTTTTATAGTAACAGCCCAAAACACGGTGGGCCAGATCCTCACTCAAGCAAAACTCCCCTCTGCAACCAGTGGGACTTTTGTCTGGGGCAGGGCTGCAGGACTGGGCCCTGGAGTAACCTGACTGTGAACTGGTTACAGCGCAGGGCCCTGACTCTGATCCCATGTCCACCAGTGTGAATCGGCAGCCCCCCTGCTCAGGCTGAACCAGAGTAAATGAGGTCAGAATACAGCAGCGTTTTCTTTGAAAGCCAGGGAGTGACTGGTAGACGTGATGGAGGAAAGACCATCAGCGGGGTGCTCCACCTCTGGGGGTTGAATGGGGGCACACCTCCCTGCAGCAGAGAGATACTCCACGTAGCCCTGGAGTGGAATTGTAGCGTGGCTGTGTGAGCTGGGAGCAGATCACCCCACCCTTACTCTGACACCCACAGGTGGGAATGACTCTTGTGCAGTTGTCTTGATCATGGCTGATATCGGGGAGCACATGCAGGAGCGGGATGGCAAGGAGGTGGGAAGGGGACCTTGAAACTTACAAATGTCCCTTGGTGGAGGAAATGCCTCCCCCGCCCCCACCCCCTGCAGAAGATCAGCCAAATCTATGTCCACTGACATGAACAAACTTTGCTCTTGGTTTCTACAGTCAATGGAGATGCTCTGGATTTACACCCGTGTGACTGAGCATCATGTGACCCCTGATATTCAGGACACAGGAAGCAAACTGTGCCCAGCGATGTGTCACCAGCTGGGACCTCGCTGGGCACCATGGTGCCTATTCTAAACATCACTGCCACCCTAGACGATGTAGCTTTGGGAAAGACTCCACAGCCAGTGGAGACGTCCTGGCTACCCTTCCGCATGAAGGCTATGGAGCTGCTACTTCCCCACCATAGCCAGGACCTTCGGGGGTGTTCAAAGCGACACTGTTGAGATGTTTTCGGGGGGGGGGGAT